ATTAATAACATAGAAACATGATATATATACTCTAGAATGAATAAAATGTCATTCCGTATGTCACTAGTGGTGATGGTGGTGGTGTTGTTGGGTTTATAAGGGCCACTGAGAGAAGCTGTACATATTAGTGGTAATTTATAAATAAGAGATATTTACACTTTAATTTTTAAATAAGAAATATTTACACTTACCTTGGAGGAGATTTTAGTTTAATTAGTTAGTTTGATGGAGGACATGCTGGCAGAGGTTTAGGGTGGCGTATGTTCAGTGGCCCTATACGCCTCCAACAATATTTGAGAGTTACTTTCGTGTCGTTTTTCTATCGCTTAATCGCTTAACTTACGTGCTACACTGTTAATGCTGCACTTTATCACTGGCTGGAGTTATAGCCTTTATTGATACCTGCTGCTGTGGTATCATACATATCATAGAATCGCTGAAGAAGGCACATTTTTCCCTCTCTCTTCCTCCTCCACTTTGGTACTTTGCTACATGTTCTTTCTTAAATTCTATCATGTTTCTTTCCTTCTTTACCAAAGGGTTGGCACTCTGAGCTTTTTTTGGGGCCCATGGTGGCTTATTTAGCAGTTGCAAGTTTAAAAAACAATGGATTATTATGAAATGTATCACATGAACCCATAAGGTGATGGTCATTCACCCACAAATCATGCCTTTGTGTACGCCCGGCTGCTCCCAGCTGCACGGACGCGTCCCATATGACGGATGAATCACGAGGCCAATCACGAATCGTGAAGCTATATTTTGACAAAAAAAAGTTGCCGAAAGACAGATTTCACAAAAGTCACGGCTGCCGAAACGTGGAGGTCCACTGTAGTTTATATTAGCATAATCATTCTGATAGTAAGATGGACACAATGACCCTTGGGCTATCTCTACTCTCAGCCCAACAGTAACAACACAGCCTGAGTCTTGAGAAGCTTTTCTCCTGATTTTATAATTTTTCATATTTTCTTGAATAGTTTGCATTCATATTATGGTGGATATATCTCTAGACATATTTATTTAGTAAAATATCTTGTCTTAGTTGGTACAATATGGTATTTTTTACTGATATTTATTTATTGGGACCTGACGATCTGTTGGAGTGTGAGCAGGGTAATATTTAGTGAAGGGATTCAGGGAAACCGGTTATTTTCATATAGTCGGACTTGAGTCCTGGAAATGGGAAGTACAATGCCTGCACTTTAAAGGAGTGGTTTGGGATATTGGCAGTTTGGAGGGACATGTTGTGTATCTTTATACGTATATGCTTCTAAACTGTTGTATTCTGAGCACCTCTGCAAAAGCAGTGATAATGTGTGAGTGTGGTGAAAGTGTTGAATGATGATGAAAGTATTTTCTTTTTGGGGATTTTCTTTCTTTTTTGGGTCACCCTGCCTTGGTGGGAGACGACCGACTTGTTGAAAAAAAAAAAAAAAAAAAATTTACAGGTGATAGTGCTTTTGGTGGAGGCAGGTGATAGTCTTGTATGTTTGCACAGGTATTGTACAGGGTCATATCAACCACTCCCCCCGCCCCTCACACACAAACATATTTCCATATCAACAAGCAGTAGCAACTACAGTGAATAGGAAATTTGGTTATGTTTTAATTTTGCCACATATTGCAAAGCTTTAATTTTATTTTTTGGCATCAAATGAACATAACCCCATTTTTCCCATATGTTCTTCTGGGGCCTAGAGCAACTGATGAAGCCTTACTTTCGGCTGCATATAGTACTGCAGGGTAAAAGAGACCAAAGGCACATTACACAATTTCTCACTACTCCAGTACAGTCATTGACTTTAGTGTCAGAGTTTCATCCATTCACCTCAGCCAGCAATCTGCAACCCTCCACCTCTGTCTAGTAGGGCTACAGCATCCCTCCCCACTCTGTTCAGAATCATTGACATATACCAGCTACCACAATTTAAGGTAAATATTTTTTCTGTAACATTTGTATCCTTAAGTAATCATACCAACTATGATTACATAATCATTTTTATTTTTTTACAATTTGGAGACCTATAAAAAAAAGTTGCCATTTTTGGGATACAAGGAACATAACCTTAATTTTCTCTTCTGTTCTTCAATTTGTATTAAGCTAAACTACTTACACTTTTATATCTGGTTACAAATGTAACAAGTTATATATGCAGACATGAATTAAATCACACACACAGAAAAGATATCAGTTTCCCTGAAGCCCTTCATATATTTTATATCAAGGGATTCAAGGATTATTATATACATTTTAATAGTTGGGAAATACAGTATATTAGACCATTAATTAGAATGCTGATTTTTAATACACCAGCCGTCTCCCATCAAGGTAGGGTGGCCTGAAAAAGGAAGAAACACTTAAACCGTTGTTCATTCAATTACTGTCTTGCCAGAAGTGTGCTGATATTACAGCTCAGATGATCCTCTGAACTGCAACATCCCCACCCCTGCTTCAGAGTGCAGGCACTGTAAATCTCACCTCCAGGATTCAAGTCCAGTTAACCAGTTATGTTTCTGAAAACTGGCACTTAATCTAATTTTGTTCTAACTAATTTGAAGAACCTCAAAGAAAATAGGGTTGCATTCTTGGCACCTCAAATAATGCTAAAGAACTTTTTTTTAAATATTGTGAAACATGACAAATTATAACTTTAGATCTTAACTGTCATTGTAGTTGGTTATGCTTGTTGACTTGGAAACTTGTGGAGGTTAGTGTGGGTATATTGGGCTGAGGTGGATGGCTGTGATGGTCCTTGTATTAATGTGGATGTAAGGTTGTCAGTAGTTGATGGTTGTACTGAAGTGCTTAAGTATTGTGTAATGCATCTGTACTCTCTTGTTTGCAGCAGTACTTTATGCAGATGACCTTGCTCTACAGTGTTTCCTTTAGACATGTCAGGGTCCATGTTAGTGAAAAATAGTCTGCCAAGTTAGCAGTAACATGGGATTTTGTATATAACAAATCCTCAAACACATCCTAGTTTGTCTGTCTTTTAGTTGTTCTTCATCTTTCTGTTCTTGTATTTGCCTCTCATCTAATTGGGAATTGAGGCCCTCCATTATTTCTTCTGCAGATGCTTCTTCATCTTTTAACAGTACTTTGTGTTAGTAGTGACACTTCATGTCGTAATAACTCTTATATCGAGTGGCTGTATCATGGATGTCATATTACATGGTAGAAATCTAGCCTTGACATTTTTGTCAGTAGATGGCAACACAGAATGACTATGAGGGAATTGTCAAAAGTGAGGAGAACCTGAATGTAAGGTTCTTTATAGCTGGATAAATTGTGACTGCAAGAATAAAATGGTACTTGAACCAGTCAAGAATTGGCTTGTCATTTATGGTGCCTTGTTTGAGCACCAGATAATAGGCAAAGAGTTTTGGTTTTGACCTTTTAATGCCTGAGGATTCTCTAGGAGATAAATTACCACAAGCTTGCATTTATAATCACTTGACGGATTGGTGCAGAGTAGCAAGCCAAACGTATTCTTGACTGCACTCTTCTTGTTTGCTAATGTAAGTTATTGACAGGATAACATTCTATAATATCTTTGAACAAGCTCTTATTTTCGTCTCAAATCAAATCAAATCAAAGTTTATTCTCTATAAGGATTACAATGTGGGGTTTACAGATTTTGGTTATTGTGTGGTTTACATGTAATAAATTACTAATTACAGAGGGGGCCACTAGAACACCTAGCATGGCTAGGCATTTCAGGCAAACTTAGATTAATTCTTAACCCTAAATTATTACAAATTGTGAAGTAAGTTGACTAAATACTAAGTGACTAAATACTAGTTTGTGAGTTTAGCAATGTGAATGCTTTTGTTTTGGCACAATACATAGTTTCTGTATTGGAGTATCACAGGCAAACTTATGACTAGTTAGGAATCATTATTTTAAGATTAAGATACGTATTTCTCATTCCTTCTGATTGTACTGATGGATGATTCACTCAGACCACAGATACACACTGTTTCTATAACACATGAATCACTCACAAGCTTCATGCTTACTTATCTTTCTGGCACCTCCAGCCTCACTAGTATTCCTCTTGGGTGCCATGGTTAATATTCAGAGACGAGATGGGGCAATGAGAAGATCTGAAAATGAAGATAAATATGTACAAGGGTCACTGTCATAAGGCACCTAGTGACGTGGGTGGCAACATGAGTAGGGGGAAGTTCTGTACTGCATTTCAGAATAAAACAGTTACTCATCTTTAGGCTCAATGCGGCAGAAGGAAGGAAACACATGGTGTGTAGTACCATGACTTCCCTACTAGAGTGATCTTTTCCTCTTGCTTTTCATACTTCAATCTGATCTTCTCCCATGCTATAGTTTTTTACCTGGAGTTTACCTGGAGAGAGTTCCGGGGGTCAACGCCCCCATGGCCCGGTCTGTGACCAGGCCTCCTGGTGGATCAGAGCTTGATCAACCAGACTGTTATTGCTGGCTGCACGCAATCCAACGTACGAGCCACAGCCCGGCTGGTCAGGTACCGACTTTAGGTGCTTGTCCAATGCCTGCTTGAAGACAGCTTTACTGTAGTTTTTCTCAAATGTTCTGTAACAGTCTTGTGTAATCTAATTCCTTTCTAACTAAAAGGAATTAGATTGCTGTAGCAACAGTTTCCACTGTTGTACATGAATGGTATACAATACTGACAAGATGACAGTTAGGCACATGTACAACATCAGGGTATCTTTATTGTAGACGTTTCACCATCCAGTGGCTTTATCAATACAAATTCAAGGACATGAATGGAAGACAGAAGAACTGTATACAAAAGATGAGATAATCAGTCCCTCAGCCTTGGAGTTGGTGTGAAGAGCACCGTAGTTGTGACGTCATCGTTATGACTACAGTGCTCTTCACACCAACTCCAAGGCTGAGGGACTGATTACCTCATCTTTTGTATATAGTTCTTCTGTCTTCCATTCATATCCTTGAATTTGTATTAAGCCACTGGATGGCAAAATGTCTACAATAAAGATACCCTGATGTTGCACATGTGTCTAATTTTTAGTTTTCACTGTTGCTGCAGCATATGTTCCTTGACTTAAATGATATACTGTACTTTATTTCAGAGCCATCGGGGCCTCCTCTGGATGTTCGAGTGACTCCTGAGTCATCAACATCACTGCGTGTGACGTGGGAACCACCAGCCAGAGACCTGTGGAATGGCAATATACTCGGCTATTATGTAGGCTACAGAAATCATGCTCATGCTGCTGACTACAACTTCCAGACTGTTGAGGTGAAGAATGTGCTTGTGGTTTGTCTATTCAAATCTGGCATTTTATGCATAATTGTCAAAATGAAAAATCTCAGGAAATTATTGATTGTCAAAGATTACAATTACTACTTATTTATGATTACCTACAGGAGGGGCCCCACTTATACAGCAGGTTAAGTTCCAGGCTATCACCTTAATGCGTGAATTTCCAAAAAGCAGAGCACCATTATTTCCATTTTTAAATGCCAGACAACAAGTTTACTCTAACATATATTAAGTTAGCAATAGAACTAGGCATTAAAAAATAATAAAATACACACACAGCACATTTATTACTTGCCTTAAAATATTAATATGAATGTGTGAGAGGTGAGTAGCAGTGTATTTACTGAATAAAGTCAGGAAATGGCGCATCATCCTCTGACTCTTCAACTAATTTTATTCGTTTTGGAGACTTGTGTGAAGCTCTTGAAGGAGTGTGTGTTACTGTTGATGTTGAAGGCTGTTCAAGGCTAGCTGATGATGTTGAAGGTTGCCGTGGTACTGTCTTAAAGTAGGAAAGCATTGAACTTTGCCATGTGGACTTTTTTTTCCTTTCCCTTAAAATTTCTTTATAGCATGTAACATCATGTCAGCAATAAGGTTATCACGTTTTCTTGTAACTTCAGTGTTCACTGGCATAGCACTTTCAATTTCCTGCAACTCTTTCTCCTTAGAGTTCACAATTGTACTAACTGTTTGACGCGCCAAACCCAGCTTATGTGCTTGGCATTTAAAGTAAGAAGCTTTTAACTCCTCTATTTATCACAACTAAGCTTAGACGCCATTGTCAATGAGCTAATGAAAGAGTAAATGAGAGAGAGAATGAGATACTCAGAGTTCAGACAATGTAAAGAAACTAACTGAATGGGTGGTGTGCGGTCACCCAGTCAGATGAAATAAATGTACATTATTATGTGTCCAGTTTTGGTTCATTCACGTACATCTGCTTGAGTTTGTGAAATTTTTATCTCATATTGTGTACAATATCTTATATTGTGTACAAGTTGGTGCAGTAGAATAAATAAACATCAACACTCCTATTCTCATGCAACACATCATTTATAGAGTGAATGATGATAGAGTGAAAGCATACGAAAGGAATATTTTTCTACAGTTACCCCCAGTAACTGGTGTTGGACTAGAGAAAATTGAATTCTTCTGTCACTCCTACAAGCTGCTTGCTAAACACATCTCATATATATGTCAATTTTTCTACTGTGGGCATATGTATCATGTTTATATAATGTGTTTCTTATATAATTTTGAAAAAATATCATAGATGGATTAATGGAAATATGTCTGTATTAATGTAATATGTGACATTTAATGTGCACCACAGAAATGATTATTATTAATATGTACCTGCATGCCAGCACAGTCTGTAGGTTTATTTACATACAGGTACACATAAGTACATATAAAATATTCAATAACTTTAAAACACTTGAAATTTTGGAAAGTTTACAGACATAATGGAGAGATGCAGAGGTCATGGAGAATGTAAACAAACCAGGTGGCACGCAGTGACCATATTAAAGAGTCAGGTGGGGGGAGCCACGTAGCGAGTTTTGGGCATAATTTGAAACGTCTGTATTAGCGGAATGCCTTAAGGTGAAACACCATAAAGTGGGGCCCCTACTGTACTTATAACTACAGGAGTAGTTGCATTTAAATATTGAATCTATCATAAAGTTTTTAAAGTTTCAATGGCTGTAGCACTTTGATCTAAATGGCATATTTTTGACAATGCAATACTGTAGTGAAGAAAAATACAGATTGCTTAAGATTTCACTGGAAGAATGTTTAGTTTTGTGTAGAGTTTTACAAAGTCTTCAAAATGACTTGATAAAGCTTGACATAACAAAACATTGTTGCAAATAGCTTGTTCAGGGACCCATGTCTTGTCTTGGCAGTTGCAGAACCTACTGCCTGTCTTATTAAGCTGTTCCATTGCTCTTCCACTCTCTCTCTCTGAGGAACAAGTTTGTAGTTTTTCTGCAGCTGTTCAATTTCGAGTGTCTTGTTGCACCAGTCGTTGGTGATAACAAGTCTTCCTTGTCATTACCTTCATATTCTTTTATAATCATTAGTGTGGTTACTATCTCTAATTGTTTCCTTGTATCAAAGATGGTATATCCAAGTCCTTCGTTTTTATTAATAGTTTACATTGCCATAGCCCCGGAGCTATTTTTTAGCTTATCTTTGGATTTTTCAAGTTATTTTTCTAGTTGTAGATGCCATACTAATATTGTACATTTTAATATTGGTTTAATACAAGTATATGGTGGAGGATTAGAAGCCGGTAAAGTTCTTGGCCATCACATACCTCTACTGTAATATACTCTGAAATCTGCATTTGTTTATAATTAATTTCTGAAATCAAAATGATGGATAATAAAACTGAACAGATCAGTTTGAAATGTAAAATTATATTTCTTTTATTTCATTGAAGTAATTTTTTGTGTGCTTTGAAATTGTGCCATTGGTAACACTTTTTAAATTGAACATTAAGACACATGGGCAACAGTTGGGTATCTTTATTGATAATATGTTTCACCTAGACAGTAGGCTTCTTCAGTCATATACAAAGAGAGCGGTAGAAATTAAGTAAACATTATGTAATAAGCTCTATGGAGCTCCATGGAGCTGAACCCTTCTCTGGGCTGAGGGACTGACCACCTCAAACTTTTTCTCCAAGGTTCATGGACTGATTACATTATATTTATTTCATTTCTACTGCTCCCTTTGTATTTGATTGAAGAAGCTTATTGTGTAGGCAAAACATTTCATCAATAAAGGTTCCCAGCTGTTGCACATGTGTCTTAATCTTCAACTTGTCGGTATTTTATACCATTTTCACCATCTTTTCTAATTGCTTGTGCTCTTTTCATTTGAAATATTGCTTAGTGTTGATGGCCTTATTCAGGGCAGGAGAAACATCCAAAAAAGAGTCATCTATTTTGGATGTTTTGTGAACATCTTAGTCTTAAATATATACTCAATGGAGTGCGGGAAAGATACTTGATGATGTATTCCTGATAAGTACTTGAGGGTCTTGTCCCAAATGTTCACACTGCCATAACAGCATACTGGAGTGAGAGATATGGGAGGAAGTGCAAAAGAAACCCAGTGAAAAGCAGGAGTGCAGTTGGCACAATAAGGGAACACTGTATTAACATTCGTGGATGACAAGTATCTTCACCAACTGACGGATCAACCAGGCTGTGATGGATATGTGGGTCAGCCAGCCATCATCAGCAACAACCTGGTTGACCAGGCAAGCACCAGATGAGCCTGGCCCATGATTGGGCTCTGTGGGTATAAAAACTTGGAATTTATCAAAGGTATATCTAAAGTTTTATTTTTATTTTTAGTAAGCTATATGGGAAAAAGGGTTGCTAGCCCATTCCTACTGGCATTTTAGTTAACTTTTACAATACGCATGGCTTACAGAAGAAAAATTCTTATTCCACTTCCTCATGGATATAAAAGGAAAAAAATAAGAGCAAGAACTATGAAGAAAGAGCAAGGAAAACTCAGGTAGGTAGTAAGTTACTAAATGCTGTAAAGAGTTTTTTTGAGGCTAGTGAGGCTCAGGTTAGAGTGTGTAGGAGAGAGGGAGATTACATCCCAGTAAAAGTAGGGATGTGTAATGTCACCATGGTTGTTTAACATTCGGTGTTTATAGATGGAGTTGTAAAAGAAGTAAATGCTAGGGCGTTGGGGAGAGGGGTGGGATTAAATTATGGGGAATCAAATATAGAATGGGAGTTGACACAGTTACTTTTTGCTGATGAGATTGTGCTTTTGGGAGATTCTAAAGAGAAGTTGCAAAGGTTAGTGGATGGGTCTGGGAGGGCGTGTAAAGGAAGAAAGTTGAAAGTAAACGTAGATAAGAGTAAGATGAGGGTATCAAATGAGTTATGTAAAGAAAAATTGGATATCACATTGGAGGGATAGAGTATGGAAGAAGTGAATGTGTTCTGATTTTTGGGAGTAGATTTGTCAGCAGATGGGTGTGTGAAAGATGAGGTTAATCATAGAATTGAAGGAAAAAAAAAGGCGAGTGGTGCATTGAGGTATCTGTGGAGACAAAGAAGGGAATGTACAAGATTATAGTGGTACCAACACTCTTATATGGGTGTGAAGCATGGTTTGTAAATGCTGCAGCGAGAAAGAGGCTGGAAGCAGTGATGTCATGTCTAAGGGCAATGTGTGGTGTAAATATTATGCAGAGAATTCATAGTATGGAAATTAGGAGGAGGTGTGGAGTTACTAAAAGTATTATTCAGAGGGCTGAAGAGGGGTTGTTGAGGTGGTTTGGTCATTTAGAGAAGATGGACCAAAATAGGTTGACTTGGAGGGTGTATAAATCTGTAGCGGAGGGGAGGAAGGGTAGGTGCCATCCTAGGAAAGGATTGAGGGAGGGGGTAAAAGAGGTTTTGTGTACAAGGGGCCTAGACATGCAACAGTGTGTGACTGTTAGGTGGAGTGAATGGAGATGAATGGTTTTTGGGACCTGATGAGCTGTTGGAGTGTGAGCAGGATAATATTTTGTGAAGGGATTCAGGGAAACCACTTAGCTGGACTTGAGTCCTGGAGGCGAGAAGTACAATGCCTGTACTTTAAAGGAGGGGTTTGGGATATTGGCTGTTTGGAATGACATCTACTGTTTGGAATGACAGCTGTCATGTCTGGGCACTTCTGCAAAGACAGTTATTTTGTGTGAGTGATGTTGAAAGTGTTTCTTTTTTGGGCCACCCTGTCTCGGTGGGAGACAGCTTTTGTGTTAAAAAAAAAAAAATCTGAAATGCCCTTCTTTCTTGTCTGACCTGTGTATTTCCTTCATTTCCTTGTTATTGTTCTAGCAACTGGCCACCACTTCACCAGCTGAACACTTTTCAAGGCTGAGGGACTGATCACCTGCTCCTACTCTTTCCAATATTAAAGTTACTTCTGTATTCATCTGAAGATGCCTGCTAAGCAGGTGAAATGTGTCAACAATAAAAATGCTCAGCTGTTGCACATGTGTCTTATTCATGTACCTTAAATAATGCAGAGTTTTGAAATGAGCTGAGTTAGTTGACTGTTGTGGGTGGCATCCTGCAGGGTGGTAGAATATTGCTGAGCCTCTAAAGCATTAATGATAAATTCTTATTGGATTTACTAGAAAAATAAAAAAAAATTAGAAAAGAAACAAATAGGATGCAGTATTTAACAGCATTATTTATCTGTTGTGGTATTTAGGTTGGTTCAGCGTATGGTGGAAGTTCGACGTTATCTGGGTTGCAGCAATATACAAGGTATGAGGTTGTGGTACAAGCTTTCAATAACAGAGGAGCAGGACCTCTCTCAGCTCCTGTCATTGCTACCACTGAGGAGGATGGTAAATGTCACTCACTGATCTTTACTAAAACAAGAGTTATACTTTTGCTTAATAGTACTGTTATACAAGTACAGCCTCTCCTCACTTAACGACAGGATTCTGTTCATAAGAGTAGGTCAGTAAGTGAATTGGTCACTAAGTGAGGAGTGTACTGTACTGGTAGTGGGTTTGTGTCAACCATCTTTAGAAATTTTTTAATGTCACCTTTGCATCATTTATAACATTTTTAGTATATTTTTAAATGTTTATACAGTAGTGTGGTGCACTGTATATTGTAATAAAGAGAATGGAGGAAATCAGCTCTAATATACATTTATTACATTTGCATTCTGGTTGGAAAGCTGATTGTAAGGCCGAGCGGTTGGTAAATGAGTACAGTGGACCCTCGCCTAACGATATTAATCCGTTCCTGAGAGCTCATCGTTAGCAGAAATTATCGTTAGCCGAATCAATTTTCCCCATAAGAAATAATGGAAATCCAATTAATCCGTTCCAGACAGCCAAAAGTATTAAATTTTTTTTTTTCATGAAATATACATTTCCCTACAAAGAAAACAATGAGACATGCACAATAACTACATAAATAAATGTTAAAATGACACCTTTATTGAAGAGTATTGATGAGTGGGATTTTCACAGTGATACATGAGTAAAGGCTTCACTTTGCAATCCCCACTAGCATTACAACAAAACATGAGAGTTAGCCTGTCTTTCACAGGCTGGTGTCCTGGGAGTGCCTTTTCCTCCTGAGTAATGTAGGTCCTGTTTGGCATTTTCTTCCAGAACATGCCTGATTCCTCACAATTGAACACTTGTTGGGGTTGGAATTTTTCAGCTTCATCATGCCTTATCACACTGTGTATGCCACTACAATTCTTAAATCTCTCAAAGCAACCTTTGCTTGCCTTAAATTCACCAATATGAGCACTAGTTCCAGGCATTTTTTTCCTGTTCACCTGGGTGTTAGTCAACTGTTGTGGATTGCATCCTGGGGGACAAGATTAAGGACACCAATGGAAATAAGTTAGACAGTCCTCGATGATGCACTGGCTTTCTTGGGTTATCCTGGGTGGCTAACCATTTGGGGTTAATTGTTTCTCGATAATTGTTTCCTGTTAAGCCACACCAACAACACACTCTCCACATCTTCAAGTAGTACAGCTGATGGTGGTGGAACAACGGCTAATGGTGGTGCAGCAACAGCTGACTGTGGTGCAGCAACAGCTGACAGTGGTACAGCAGCAGCTGACTGTGGTGCAGCAGCAGCTGACTGTGGTGCAGCAGCAGCTGACTGTGGTGCTGCAGCAGCTGACTGTGGTGCAGCAACAGCTGACCGTGGTTCAGCAACAGCTGACTTTGGTACAGCAGCAACTGACTGTGGTGCAGCAGCAGCTGACCGTGGTTCAGCAACAGCTGACCGTGGTTCAGCAACAGCTGACTGTGGTGCAGCAGCAGCTGACTGTGGTGCAGCAACAGCTGACTGGTCCAGCAACAGCTGACTGTAGTGCAGCAACAGCTGACCGGGCTTCAGCAACAGCTGACCGGGGTTCAGCAACAGCTGACCATGGTGCAGCAGCAGCTGACCGTGGTGCAGCAGCAGCTGACCATGGTGCAGCAGCAGCTGACCGTGGTGCAGCAGCAGCTGACCGTGGTGCAGCAGCAGCTGACCGTGGTTCAGCAGCAGCTGACCGTGGTTCAGCAGCAGCTGACCGTGGTTCAGCAGCAGCTGACCATGGTTCAGCAGCAGCTGACCGTGGTTCAGCAGCAGCTGACCGTGGTGCAGCAACAGCTGACTGTGGTGCAGCAGCAGCTGACTGTGGTGCAGCATCAGCTGACTGTGGTGGAGCAACAGCTGATGGTGGTGCAGCAACAGCTGACCATGGTGCAGCAACAGCTGACTGGTCCAGCAACAGCTGACGGTGGTGCAGCAGCAGCTAACCGTGGTACGATAGTACTTCGATAGTATTTCTCACCCTTTTTACCACAGGGTTGGCACTAGAAGCTTTCTTTGGGGCCATGGTGGCTTATTTAGCAGATACAAGCACTAAAAACAATGGAATAATACAAAATGTATCGAATGTATGCATGCAGCAGGCCACCCTGGCTTGTAAACAATGACGTCAGGGCAGCTGAGGTGCTCAGGCTGGACGGACAGGCTCAGGACGAGTCATGTTGGTCAGAAACAGCTGACGGTGGTGCAGCAGCAGCTGACTGTGGTGCAGCAGCAGCTGACTGTGGTGCAGCAGCAGCTTACCATGGTTCAGCAACAGCTGACTGTGGTGCAGCAGCAGCTGACCGTGGTGCAGCAACAGCTGATGGTGGTGCAGTATCAGCTGACAGTGGTGCAGCAGCAGCTGACCGTGGTTCAGCAGCAGCTGACAGTGGTGCAGCAGCAGCTGACTGTGGTGCAGCAGCAGCTGACTGTGGTGCAGCAGCAGCTGACCGTGGTGCAGCAGCAGCTGACCGTGGTTCAGCAACAGTTGACTGTGGTGCAGCAGCAGCTGGCCGTGGTGCAGCAACAGCTGATGGTAGTGCAGCAGCAGCTGACAGTGGTGCAGCAGCAGCTGATGGTGGTGCTGCAGCAGCAGCTGATGGTGCAGCAGCAGCAGCTGACAGTGGTGCAGCAGCAGCTGACCGTGGCTCAGCAACAGCCGACTGGTGCAGAAACAGCTGACCGTGGTGCAGCAACAGCTGACCGTGGTGCAGCAACAGCTGACCGTGGTGCAGCAACAGCTAACTGTGGTGCAGCAACAGCTGACTGTGGTGCAGCAACAGCTGACGGTGGTGCAGCAACAGCTGACGGTGGTGCAGCAGCAGCTGACCATCTTACGATAGTACGTATTTCTCACCCTTTTTACCACAGGGTTGGCACTAGAAGCTTTCTTTGGGTCTTTGTTGGCTTATTTAGCAGTTACAAGCACTATAAATAATATAATAATACAAAATGTACTGAATGTATGCATGCAACCGGCCACCCTGGCTTTTAAATAGCGATGGCAGGGCAGCTGAGGCGCTCAGGCTGAACGGACAGGTTTGGGAGGAATCACGTTGGGCGAGTTTTTTATCATGAGACGAGGCAAAATTTTTGCGTTCAAATGCTTCGTATGGCGGAATTAACATTATGTAATGCGTTTGTTAGGTGGGGGTCCACTGTACATTGCTCAGTGAGGACAGGCTGTATTCTAAGTTTGAATGGTCATTAAAATTAAGAATCAGGAATAACCTTAACTGTAGGTATCGGTCCTTTATATAGTTTATAATGTACACAGAGAGTACTTATTTTTGCTATAGGATATGGTAGTTAGTTGTGACAGGTTGTGACATAAGTTTACTCTAGATTTCTAACCACCTAAGAAAATAAAAGGTCAGCATGGCAATTATCCAAGTCATACTACATATGGTTATTAACAGTTTTATTAGTAATCACTGTCAGCATCTAACATGGTTGATACAAGACCACTGTCAGCATCTAACATGGTTGATACAAGACTACTGTCAGCATCAAACATCGTTGATACAGCATCACTGTCAGCATTGCTAAACTACAATAGTGAATTCTTAGTTTCACTTACTTGTTCATGAAATTTTTAATTAATCTTATTCTGGGTTTAATTAGTCTTATTGTTAGTGCTTTGAACTTGTACATTAATATGTATGATGATGCAGCTCCCAGCCTGCCTCCTGAAACAATACGATGTGAAGCAACGTCTGCAAAGAGTGTGTCTGTTGCCTGGCGTCCTCCTCCTGGCCAGGGTCAGAATGGTTTAATTAAGGGATATAGAGTACTCTATATGCCTGCATCACAATACTCAGGTGAGTTTATCTAAACTTGTCTCTTTATTTATGCATGTGTTTGGATTTATGTGCATTGTCTTTTGTGTATGTATTCATGGTTATACATATCTGTAAATGTATTTTAACTGGTCTGGTGAGAAAGATATATAACAATAGTATAGAAATTAAACAATATTGTACCCTGGTGGGAGCAACTCAAAACTTGCCCTCAAATTGTAGATGAATATTAGACAGTACACGTATCTCAGTTTCTCCTGGACCATTGGGGTGCTGAGAACACCAATGAACTCACCAGTGAGTGAAACATGTATTATGAACAAAAATTACATTTACTATAGAAAAGTATTCATTAGAATTTACATTGAGACCAGTTTGATCAGAATTATTTGGTTGGTTACCGAGATATTGTTGCAAACACTTGTAGGCGATCTTCTCAAGACACGTTTGGTGAACTTGTCAGCTTTCTTTATTGCAAAGGTTTGTAATTATTTTCAGAAAAGTGATCTTTGGCGAGTTTGTCATTTTTCACGTCGGTGCCTCACATATCATGACTAAATAATGGTACAAGATAGTTGGTGTGAGTACTCATATCTAGAGAGAATGTTCAGCACATAGTCTAGAATAAAAAGGAAGAATGTAAACCACAGAATGGGTGGGATTTGAAGTGATGATGAGTGGGTGATAAAACTCCAAACCAGTGTGTAAACCACTGGACCAGCTGGCTATAATAAATCATCTTACTAGGTATATATGTACACCATAGGGAAGTTAACATGGGCCACCACTGTGACCACAAATGCAAGTTTTTACAGATGAATTTACCACCAGCATGGCCATGATGAACTCTAGCTCAAGTCCCCTCAAAACTGCTGTCATGTCTCACAAAATCGTAATAACACAATTGCAAACAGTGCACTAGCCTGAAGTTTTATAACTCATTCACCATGGGTTCGAACCCCACCTGTTCTGTGATTTGTTTGCAATTTTATTATAATTTCATGAGTCATGAGGGAGAATAGGTGATTATGTTGTTGTTTTTGATATTTTGTGAAGTTTATTATTTCCCTCTGGAACAAAGGTACACATTTATACTGTATAAACAAATTTAAAAGATCCTGGGTAGTAATATTTGACATATGCTACATATCAGTCCTACATGTTATGGAGATTGACATAAACCACTTTTTCTTAAATACAAAAAAAGAGTCAAGATTATTGATACAGGTACATTGCATTTTGAAAAAAAATGAGTTTCAGTTTTCAGAACTAATGCTCAGGTTGGAAAAGCTTTGTATTTAAGATTGTTTTGTAATAATACTAGAAGAAAATGTCAGCATAAGTGGTTGGTAATTTGTTATTTTAATTCTCATTGGGGTAGAGGTGGTCATGGGGAAGGTTGGAGGAGAGTGTGAAGGTTTTGTGTGCAAGGGGCTTAGACATCCAGCAGGCATGTCAGTGTTTTAAGATAGGAATGAGTGAATGCAAGTGGTTTTGGGACTTCATGAGCTGTTGTGAAGGGATTCAAGGAAATGGGATGTCAGACTTGAGTCCTGAAGGTAGAAAGTGCCGGCACTCTGGAAGAGTGGAGATATTACAATTTGGAAGGGCATCTGAACTGGAGTTTCTTGTTTATTGGGTCGCTCTACCTCTGTGGGAGACAACTGGTGAGTTAATAAAATAATAATAATGATCATAATACCTTCACTCTGAAGGAGGGGTGAGGATGTTGCAACTTGTATCGTCATCTGAACTGTAATGTCATTGTGCTCCTGGTAAGACAGTGATAGAATGAATGAAAGTGAAAGTGTTTCTTCTTTTTTGGGTCACCTTAACCTTGGTGGGAGATTGTCAGTGTGTCAGAACAAAACAACAATGGATAACAATAAAAACAATGTTGGCACCATTTCAAGAAGAGAATTATAGTCCATGGACAATGTGTGCATCATTACATTATAAATACATTGTTTTCTCTTTGACAGACGAAGAAGCTCAAGCAGAAACGGCAGCGGAAAGCACTAACATATTTAATTTAGAGAAATTCACAAATTACAGCATCAGTGTTCTGGCATACACAAGTGCTGGTGACGGTGTGCCTTCACAACCAATATTCTGCACCACGCTGCAGGATGGTACGTTTTTAACACCCTACTTATCATTCCTCTCATTCTTTGATAAGTTGAAGTCCAATATAATTTCTTGAAATGCAGTGTGGATTAGTTTTTCAAAGTAATTAGCACATCATTTACATTAATTCATAGATAATTAAGACAGAGCAATAAAAAATCCTGAATATTAAAAATATTCAAGCTGGTGTAGACATCAAGTGTGCAGCTGCATGCTGACTCTGACTGACTGACTCACTCCCTCCCATCACCTTGTCAGCCCACACAGCTGATAAGTGTGCAGCTGCATGCTGCTCCTGACTGACTCATTCCCTCCCATCACCTTGTCAACCCACACAACTGATTAGTGTGCAGCTGCATGCTGACCTTGGCTGACTCACTCACTCCCATCACCTTGTCAGCCCACACAGCTGATTAGTGTGCACCTGCATGCTGACCTTGGCTGACTCACTCCCACACAGCTGATTATTTCACAGTTCATACAGTGTGTTGTAGTTGAATTCAGAATATTATTGTGACCCTGACATGCAACAGTCATTAATATTTATTGGCTACACAGACACACAAAACATTGTATTTTGCTGGGAATGTTAGCAGACAATGTTTACATTCCTCAGGTGTTCAGTATATTGTAAATGAAAATGAGTTGTTTCATGCTGTATCAAAGAGAAAGATAAGATTTATTTGGATTTTTTATTTGAGGAAAGGTTAGCCACCCAGGGTAATCCAGGGTAGGGAGGGTTAGCCACCCAGGATAATCCAGGGTAGGGAGGGTTAGCCACTTAAGATAATCCAAAGTAGGGAGGGTTAGCCACCCAGGATAATCCAGGGTAGGAAGGGTTAGCCACCCAGGATAATCCATGGTAGGGAGGGTTAGCCACCCAGGATAATCCAGGGTAGGGAGGGTTAGCCACCCAGAATAATCCATGGTAGGGAGGGTTAGCCACCCAGGATAACCCAGGGTAGGGAGGGTTAGCCACCCAGGATAACCCAGGGTAGGGAGGGTTAGCCACCCAGGATAACCCAGGGTAGGGAGGGTTAGCCCCCCAGGGTAACCCAGGGTAGTGAGGGTTAGCCACCCAGGGTAACCCAGGGTAGGGAGGGTTAGCCACCCAGGATAACCCAGGGTAGGGAGGATTAGCCATCCAGGATCATCCAGGGTATGGAGGATTAGCCACCCAGGATAATCCTGGGGTATGGAAGGTTAGCCACCTGGGATAACCTGGGGTAGGGAGGGTTACCTCCCCAAAATTACCCAAGAAAGCCAGTGCGTCTTCGAGAACTGTCCGTCTTAATTCTATTGTGGTAGTCCTTCAGTCTTGTTTCCCAGGATGCCACCCACACCAGTCCACTAACACCCAGGTACATACTTACTGCTAGGTAAACAGGTACAGCAGGTGTAAAGAAACATGCCAACATTTCCACCCAGTAAGGTAACATTTATGAAGGGAGTCAGAAAACAACATACATATGTATTGTACGTATTTACTTACATACGTACGTACATACATACTCCTACTTTTTCTTTCCTCACAGAGAATGAGGTAAGAATAATAAAGAACGGTATATCAGGTGGTGATAATATGGGTAGTGGAGCTCTACAGTACAGGTATACTTTATACAATAGTTAAAAGTATAACTTGATGAGCCTCAGCCTGGGTGAAACAAAGTCCCAACTCACAATAAAAGCTGCTGTCTTAAAAGCAAGAAAAAGAGACTTTTATTAGTATGGCATTTTGCCAAATACAGTACTTGTTAAAACTTCATCAAATACAGTACAGGTGGGCCTTGCTGTACAGCACTTTGCTTTACAGCATTTAGCTAATGTGGGAGTTTTCAGTTATACCCAGTCTTCATTGATTCAACCTTCCTACAAATACATTCACCACTCACTATAAGCTAAGGACAAAAATATTTTAAGGTAAGTAATTTGTGTATTGTAGATGCATTTTTTTAGTTCTATTGCTCACTTAATATATAATAGTATGAACATGTTATCAGGTTTTTATATGCATTTGAAAGTGAAAAAAGACTTTTACTTAGCAATTTTCACATAACAGCAGTACCCTGGAACATAACCTGCTGTGTAAGTGGGGCCTGCCTGTACTTGATAAAGTTTATCAAGTGTAGTACTTGATAAAGCCTCGTGTAGGTTAAGCATTTTATAGTACCGGTAAAGCTCAGATTTTCCTGTTTTTTTTTTTCCACTCTTCGGCTGTGTCATAACTCAACTGAAAGCTGTTCTGCACATTGTGTCTTTATAGTCATTCTTGTGGAGATTGTTCCTCTAGATACAGTCCAGGGATGATCTTGACTCTATGTTTACTGAGAAACTGAAGCTGGTCAGTATTTCTGCTAGTATTCTCATCATGTATATTTGTTCATCTAATGAACAGTGATAGAATTGATTTGTTACATTCTTAATCTGAGGACAGTGATAGTTAATATAGTTTTATGGTTGATACTGCTACATTCTGTATCTGAAGATGGTGATAGGTAATATAGTTTTATGGTTGATACTGCTACATTCTGTATCTGAAGATGGTGATAGGTAATATAGTTTTATGGTTGATACTGCCACATTCTGTATCTGAAGATGGTGATAGGTAATATAGTTTTATGGTTGATACTGCCACATTCTGTATCTGAGGACGGTGTTAGTGTAATTTTATGGCTTGATGTGACTATAGCTAATCAGTAGACTGAGACTCCTGAGGGTTTACTGGAGCAGTTTTCAGCCATTTTAGCCTCCATATTCTAAGGGTTCTCAAGATTTTCCCGAAGGGTTGCATTCTCTGGGACCTTTCTTCTGCCAACAGATCAAGAGAGCTATTTCAAAAGGGAAAAACTATGAGTGCATTCTAGAGGGTGGAAGACTTTTCAAGCACCAGGGCTCTCTATATATCACTCATGGGGCTCTCAAGTTAATTTTTATGGAGTCTTTTTCCTGCTGTTGTGCCTTCATCAGAAATCCTCATTTGCTCTGTATTCACCAGGAATTTCAGTAGTGCTTCTGCCTTCTTCTACATGAAATAATTTACTAGTTCATAGCAGTACAATTGGGTCTGTAGTGAATCTTGTGGCTCTTCACTCAAGTGTGCTGCTCTTTGGGTATGGCATCCTTGTGGTGAAATCATCCATCCAGTACATGTTGACTGTGATATTTATCATCTTTCTCAAAATAATCAAATTCACAAGAACACCATCTTGAATGTGATTTGTAGATAATTTGCTGGAGAAACAGGTTGTCCTATGGAATCTCCGTCATAGTTGCGTCACCTGATCTCATGTGACCCACATTATGATGATTGTATCAGCTTCAATACTTTTCACTTTGGGGCTTCTATCTTACCTTGCCTGAAATGCTCTGCATAACCATGGGATTTCTGCATACACAAATAAATGTCACACATCTCTGTACAAACATTGTATCATGTGGAAATAAGTCTTTGACTTTGACTACTGGTAGGGCAACAGCGAATTAAATCTCACCCTTTATAATAATGTATAATCTGTTCTTTCATTCCTCCAGTCAGCTGTACAGGGGGTTATGGGGTTTCCACTCAGTGAATCCATTTGATTAGATTCCTGTATTTCCCACCCTAGGTGATGATTATTCATAGATTCAAGATTGGATTGTATATCTTGATGCCCCACTCTCAATGTGTCAAGACCATTATGGTTGTCTACTCAAGATGCTATGAGTTAATGTGGCAAGTGTTACACACTTTCTTGCAGACCAGGGCCATTCCCATCACAAATGTCACTCACTTCATGGTCATCAAATTCCTCATTCACTTGTTCTATAAGTACTGAATAGAGTGAACTATTCAAGTACATAAGTGCACTTTGGGGGAGTCTGTCACCTGGGAGTTTTTGTACACAGAGCACCCTCATTAAGAACATCGTTGTGGCCATGTGTTTTTAACAACTCAGATCTCTCAGATGGATTCAGGTGTGATTTTTCTGTGTCGTGTGTGCATATATTGCTTCATAACCATCTTTGAACATGCCCCTGGAAGAGAGTACCTATTCCACACACAAGATGATATTTCTTCTGGCAATTGCTTCTGCTGCCCAAGTGGATGCCTTATGTGCTTTAGGTTTGCTGGATCTGTTTTGCTTTCATCCCATGGAATTCACCCTGGACCATAAGGTTGCATTTTCTCTCTAAAGAACAAAATGGTTCAGAACTTACATTGTACACTATTATCAATTATTATACAATTGTAATTTGTCTGGTAATCCTATGTTATACTCACTTGAGAAATTAAAGGATTATATCTCTTTGCTATGGCTGGAAACTCTTCAGACGAGCCTCTTTCTTAATATGGATTCGGGGTCTCGACAGCAGCTCAATTCCTGTCCACCTGGGTGAAACAATTTATCATATTTGTTCACACCAGGCAAGGCCTTCCTAGTGAGGAGCCATGACGCCAGAGACATGTCTGTGTCCTCAGCGCTGTACCTCATGTTCATCTGGACCTCACCTTGGAGGGCATGAAGATCTGCAGGGCATGAAGATCACATGTGCATCAACTTCTCCAGACATTACCATACCATACTCTATCCGCTTTCAGATGTTGTCTTTTTGGGTCGTCAACTTGCTACTTTCTCAGGTCAGTGTTTCTTAACTGTTTTATTGCCAGCTTCTTTGGTAACTTCCCCTCCTGATTTTTTACCAGGGTATCTTTCCAACCTTTGGCCTGTGTTGATGTGGTACACTGATGTTTGACATACACTGTAACAAGGAGCAATGATGGTCATTATCCTTCATTATGTAAGAGTTAGGGTGTCTGTCAGCCAAGCATATAGAAAAGCTCATAGTGGTCCTCTTGGTATTTGCGCTAGTCTGACTTGCAGCACAAAACTAAAATTCAAACTTGGTAAGTGTTTTGACAGTTTCAGTTTGTCCAATACCAGTAAGAACATACAGTCAAATGTGGTAACCATCTTGATATAGCTTTATAGTCAGAGATGTTATGGTCCTTACCAGTAGAAATGTA